TGTCATAAAAAGCATCTTGCTTGCAGAATCAAATTTAGCAGTCTGTTCCTGTCCTTCAAAAGACACATTTAATCTCTGGAAGTCCAAAAGACAGATTTTCAGTACTTTCTGAGATGAGCAAGAATCCTGTCTTGCTAATTCTCCACCATGTTTGTTTAATTTTGAAGGAATAATCTTTTAATGACTTAATGTCGTTTGCTCTCCTCTTTGCTACTATTCTCATTACATTTCAAGCTGTGACAGCTCTATCTGTGCCCCTTCCCACCCGCTGCCCCACTCCATGGGCTGTCAAGGCATCTGAATAGAGCCTGGGGCCTCACATCCCACAAGATTTTAAGCTTAGGGATTTTAGAAGCATCCAGAAAGAGTTGTGACCTGGACTCTTGCAGAACAGTTAGTCTCCCTTTGCCTATTGGTAAGGGCATGGGATGCTTGCCAGTGCCAGCTGCCACCAGCACTCCAGGCGTGCTGATCTGACACTCCTGTCACCTCTTAAATTCTTCCTCCTATAGTCTGGGAACCCCTCTGAAGCTACATCTTTGCAAGCTTTCGAATTTGGCTTCCAGAGGATCATGACAGCCAAAACAAATGGATGGTTTCTTACCAAGTGTATGCTACACTTAAAAGAAAAATAAATCCACATTACTTGGACATGCCTCTACAAGAATAACAACTATCTGCAGGCAAAATGTCTTCCCTGTACTCCATTTCCTCATGTCTACATGACAATCCACTCACTCTTTACCTCACTGTTTCTGCTTAATCTTCCTGGCAGTGAATGACTCCTCCTACAGCCTCTCAAGAGAGGTATCTGAAACTAACCTAGACTTAGCATCCTCTTTCAGGGACAACTTCAAAATACCACGAGGCGACTTGTGGTTTAGCAAAAGTCATAACACTCTCAAATTAACTGGAGAAAAATCAATTCCCTGTGCTACAGCCAGCCTCCTGGTGTAAACTCCCCTGCACATGACCCATCACTGGAGCCCTCTTGACAGCCCTCCTCCTGGTAAAATCCAATCCTTACAGCCAACAGAGGAACAAATACAGTGAAGTGCCCAAGCTCCAACCTGCATCCCAGAGCCCCACTGCACAACAAACAACACAGTACAGCTTGCAGCAAGTTTCCATTCCACAGACCTCCTAAATCAAGTACATTTACAGGGATATCTTCCCTGTAAAGTTCCCCCACTTCCATTATCGATCATCATGACTAATGGCAGTAACAAGGGGAACACCCAAATGCATCTCATGATTAAGATTTTGTCTGTATTTTCAATTTCAGGACTACTCACATCTCAGCTCTGCTCCTGTCCCAGACATCCCTTAAGGCTCTGCTGCCCATCAGCTATTCCTTACCCTCCTTAATCACACATTTACCACATTTCCTCTCCACCCTTAACAGCACTTCCACAGTACTTCTGTTTTCCAGCTACCATTTTCAGCAGTGTGGCTTTCAGGTAAATCTTTGTTTAATATTAAAGCCCTTTTCAAATATTTATTATCAAATTAACCTGAATCCAACTGGGGAGAAAACAGAAGGACACATTGTTTTAGCAAAGTATTATTCCAGACAAATAAAAGACACTGAATAAGGATTTTTAAAAGGAGTAACCCAAAAATTCTTCTGTAAACTGAAAAAAAAAAAGAAACACAAGGATGAGAAATTTTGTATACTGGAAAACTTGTGGTTGGATCACAGGCAAAGTGAACCAGGACCTTGATAACAACATTTCAACCCCAAGTACTTTTCTTTATACTGCTGTAGAACTCCATGAGATAACTGGCAAAGGCAATTTTCCACAAATCTGTAGCACAAAAGTGTACACTTTGAATAATGAACTGACATCTTAGAGATTATTAATATTTCCCAATGATACAAACTCTCCACAGAAACTGAGAAATCCCAAAGGATAAGCCCAGCTAACTAGGGGAGCATCTCAGGAAAGCTAAACCCATCACCTATCTCCAAGTACTTACTACAACAACATTCCTGTAAAAAATTCCACAGCACATAACTCCAACACAAGCTCTCACTCAGAAAATGCTGGTAATGAGAAATCAAACAGATGAAAGGCTACTGTCGAGTGTTTAAATTGGTCATCCTGCCTCCTGTGACTTGTATCTAAAACACTTCTTAAAAGTCCAGGAGTTAAAGTTAAGTAGATATTATGACAGATTGGCTAGTTAGAATATTTATGTTTTAAGCAGTAATGATATGTATTAAAATCTCAGGAGCTACAGGCAATGAATCTGATCCTTACTGCAGCTTCCACAGCAGATTAATTACATGAATTCAGTGAACATATGCAAGGTTAAAACTTCCATTACTCCAAAGCATAACCCTGAAAAGGACATGCAGCCTCTTTATCCCCTCACTGACATCAGCACCAAGAGCATTTCCTAAGAGGGTGGGACTGTTGACAGTACTGGCCTAAGACATCAGCCTGTACTGCCCAGCAGCCAAGAGCCTGCCCAGCTCAACACTCTCCCTTTGCAGGACGTAGTACTTTGATGCTCTGCATGTGGAAGAATCTTTCCACAAATGGATCTTTGAATGAATCAGGTGGGTCCCTGCTCCCGAGGGTTAGAAATATGATGGAGATGAATGATAAGCTGATGTATCCTGCTCTTGCTTAGTGATTCCAGACTGCATCCAGGTTCCTAGACCTACCCTCCAAGGCTGGCCCCAAAGGGTCTGCTCTGGGTCTCAGCCATAGTTTAGTTGTGGTTTTGCATCTGCACAACCCTTGATTGTCTTCAAACTAATGAACTCTGCTAAGTGTCTCATTCTCCATGTACTTCACCACAGTTGAACTTAACAGCAAGTAAGCTTGTTAGAGAGTGACAGGAAAGAAGAGCTTGGTGAGGACTTGTCTCATGGGTATTTCCCAGGTTCTCTGAACTATGGGGAAGAGGAGGAAAGCTCCTCATCTGTTCTCCTAATTCTCCAAATGCAAAGGTGTCTTTCTCGTGTTCCCTTGACATGTTCATTTTAAGAACTCATATTCAGCTGTCATGTCAGCAACAACTCAAAGCAGAAACTTAATTCAGCTAAAATGTAAAAAAAAAGATCCATTTATGTAAAGATCCCTCTTTCCGTAGAGAGTAAGAGACTCTTTCACTCCACCTTCAACAAACAGATTGCCTTGCCACTCTCAAAAGCACTGTACCAATCCAACTGTTCCCTCAAAACAACTCCAGAACATCTGCATCTCTGTAGTACTGAAGTAATGAGTTTGACACACACAGCCAAGTCTGCCACACTGAGCAAGTGTCCTCTCCACCAACACTGCAAGCTGCTGTTATGCAGATCAGAACAGTCAGCTTCCCCAGATAAGGTAGCCCCTTCCTGGAAATGGAAGACAGAGCTTATCTCAGGAAAGGGAAGATAAAAGGTCACTCTTCAATAAGTGGCAAAGTTCTCACCTTGAAAGCTTTGTCCCTTGATTGACATGGAACAACCAAGGTCATGGAACTCTTAATCAGATGCCTACATAATTAGTAAATCGCTATTAATTTTATCAGAGAGCCAAGACCTCAGAGGAAAGGCAAAGCAAACAAAGAACCCAATGAAGCCTCCTCTGTTGTTGGAGAAAATTGGTAATTAAAAGTCATGACTGCACCAAAGGATGAGGGAACAGCATCACAGTCACTGTTAGGATCTCAGGAGTGACTTGCATACAAAACAGCAGGCTCATCTCCCTGAGGAAATTACAGGGTACTGCATTACAAAGCAGTCACGAGGAAAAAAAAGGAAATAAAGGAGACAGAGAAACAGCCACTCCTGTCTTATCAACAGCTTTATTTGCCCCACAGAGAGGGACAGCACTGCCAACCAGCTCCAAGTTTGAGAGGTGCTTTCCACATGTTTCTGGCAGCTCTAGAAAGCCTTCTCTCAGCCCCCTATCATGAAGGATTCCCATACTGTGACATGCACAAAAGAATGACACCTTGTACTCGGCCCAATCCAGCCCACACACAGCCCTTGCCCAGAAGTCTCTGCCCAAAGACTATTCCACCGTAAAGCCTTTATTTCCCTCGGTGACCTGAGCTCAGCCCCAGTGACTGCTCTTTCCCCAGAGGCTGCCCTTCAAAACATCGCTATCAAAAACTGAAGAACTTCACTCTACCCTTAAGAAAACCCCAAAACTCAAAAGAAGACAGAAAGTCATGGTCCTGCTCACACAATGATAAATCAAACTAGGTACTTGTGATCCCCTCTGAAAACAAAGCAAGTTCTTTTGCTAATCAGGCAATGAGAAGACAAAGGCTGATCTGTTCCCATACCAACAATATGACATCATCTTGGAGCACTGAGACATCAAAGATGGCACTGGATGGAAAAAAGCACCAAACTATCCACCACCATTTGCAGGCAAACACAAGAATCTCTCTGATCTGCTATACAGGCAGTCTTATAGATCCAACCCTAAACATGACCATATGCAAGAGGAGCCAAGTCTGGGCCAAACCCCTGAAGAAATGGGTTTAGATGGATTATGAGACAGTGGCAAGAAGAATACTCTCATGTGCTCAGCCCTCCCGACACGTAAAAAGTGCAAAATACCAGAAGCCTAAAGAGAACAGTTTGTAAGTCCCAGAGATCAGAACAAAGAGACATTTTCTACTTCACTGCTTCAAGTACAATGACTCAAAAAGACACATCTTCAAGATACTCTAAATAACAAAGCCTGTCCTTTAAAACACGAGCAAGAAGGAATAAAGGATAACGGCAGCAGAAGCAATAACGCAATTTGTGGGACTCTGCCACTGAATAAAAAATTAATAACCAACAAGCTCTGGCCATTTCATTATGCCTCATTTTGACAGACCCGAATCCAATAAACTTTTATTGAAGTGCATCTGGTCCGTTTTTATCCCTTTTCTGACCTTCCATTGCTTGCCACTGCAATGAACCTTCACTGCTGCAACCTTATCACAGCACTGTTTCATATTGCTGAATTCAAGGCACCTAACCCCCTCTGGGAGCACTTTACCTGTTGAATATATCACCAGACACCTTTTGCAGGTACTGAAGTGCATCTGCCACCTGCTGAACAGCCTCCTCCCTGCGTAAATCGGGTTGGATCAGCGGGACTGAGTATGTCTGCCCCTCCAAAAAGTGCTTCTGGGCTACTGCAGCCATTGTACCTAAAGGAAAGAGCAAACAGATCATTATTAATCACACTTCCATTTTATCACAGCATTTATTCAGGGACTTCCACTTTCTGCTCCCCTAATTATTTTAGGAAAGCATTTGCAACAGAATTGGTGAGCTGTGGAGAACAGCACAAGGTAGTAAGGTTGACATATTGGATTTTTAATAAATTCGAGACAGCCACAGTGAGGTGGAAATCTCTTGCTTATCTGAATCCTCTTGGGAACCATAATTTTATTTTTTGCATGCTACTTAACAAATCTCTGCTTAGTACTGTGCTGAAAACAAAGACCACACTTCAAAGCAAAGTCAGTTTAGGGTGGCAATAAGAGTCATCAGAACCTGCTGTCCTCTCCTCCCATTCTCATATTCCCTGTGGATATGTCTCGGCAAAGTGCAGTATTTCATCTTACACTTCTGCTCCATGAAACACAACCACCACTTCCTTCCAGGAAGAGCAGCCATGAAATTGCAAGGCATGCAAGTGCACACACCCTCTTGCTCCCAGTAGGCTAATGAGAGTTCTTCCCTTCTGAGACTCCCAGGAGCTGTTTGCTGCTTCTGGTGGCTGGAGTTTACCTTAGAACCTATCTTAAAAGAAGCCTCCTTATTTTAGGAACCTTTTAGATAACAAAACCTAAGTGGTCACTGACACGTTTCAGTTGTGTGCAACACATGCACCAGAGCAGTAAACGTGCTCTCAGATGCAGCTGGGCCCAAGCCACTGCTCTACAGCCAGCCAAGAGACGGTTATGTATCACTCATGTTTCTGTCCTGACAGCCTTGCTCACCTCTCCCTCAGAAACTCCCAAAAAATCTGCCTCCCACATTTGTATTCAAAAAAATGACAAAAACTTTCCCAGGACATGGAGGAGAGTAAAGAGAAAAAACTCAGTTTCTCTCAGCACATTAGAAATTGCAAACTCACAAATACATTACTGTTAGGACAGTCCAAAGAATGAACAGAGTAGAGTATTCATACAGTTTTCTAACCCAAACTCTACTGCTAGGTCCACACAACTCTCTTCAAACTTGTTTTTTCTGTGTTTTCTTATCCAGGCTGTAAAACCCTCCACAGTCTACAGGTGCTCATTACAAGGTTTCATCACACAGAGTGCTGTACATCGGTATAAGAAAATATTCCTTAAGCTGAGGAGAGGCAAAACAAATAAGGATCAAAAAGCAAGGCATCAGAAACAGACAGGGATATCTCAGGACACACCACATTCCCTCCATGGTACCTGGAGTTCTGCAGGAGCTAATCCAGAGAGTACTGCTGTGTGCAACCTGTATTCCTGGCTGTATACTAGGACAGACTGAGAACAACACAGAAACACAGCCCATACTGGAGAAGTTCACAGAACAGGAACCCAAAGAGATAGTTGCAACATAAAACATCAGTTTAGTATGTGAAAATTAGAGGAGTCTTCACGCATTCTTTAAAGCCTCTATCTTGCTTCACAAAATGAAAAGAGAACCAATCAGACTTGCCTGCAGCCATTCCTGTACTTTCAAGAAACACCATCCATCCTCTCCAAATTTGTCCTTCCTGATCCTACCACAGCAGAGTAAGGAATGACTTTCTGTAAACGTGATGCAGCTGTTATTTTAAGGGTGGGTTTTTTTGGGATGCAGTGGTTTTTGGGTTGTTTTGAGTGTTTAATAATGAATCACATGAGATTTAAGGACACCTAGTAGCTTTTTGCAGTTAAATCTGCAAAACCAAGCCTAGCCATCAGAAGAGCTGGCTCTGCTGCAGGAAGCCTAGACCTATTCTGTTCCATTTCATGCATCATTGGCAGCCAGACTCTGTATCCGCACTCTTTAGCGGCAATGTTTGCACACTGATTAGTCTTCTTGACTGAGCCTACTCAGCAGACAGGAAATTATTATTTAGAGCTGTAAAGCATACAAGTTAATCAGAGAGGAGTACAGCTAATTTTGAGATGGCATTTTTTGATCTGCTGACCACAATCAAGCTCGAATCCTCTTCCTTTCGAATCTCCTATTTGACTGTCAAGGCGGAACAAAGCGAGCAGATAACACAGCGAGCACATGGTGATGAGTGACTCTGGCTCCAGCAGCAAAATGAGTTTATGATCCTCCCTGCCACTGGTCACAACTCTTCTGTTGCATCAATGCTGCTCATGTTGGGGATGCCTATTTTTAGCTCGGATCAGTTCAATGACCCAATTTACTGCAGCCGGATAAACAGCTGTAATTGCCCAGTCGTGAAGCAGCGTGGGAAGCAGGGGCAAAAAGGGGACTTCTAAAACTTGCTTCATTATCAAAACCATCCCTGTGTAATGGTAATCCTGAGAAGGCCAAGCCTTTCACCTCTTGAGGCCAGATGAGATTATACATGATCTCTGACTCTCACCAACCCTAATTCTCCCAGTGACCTTTCTAAAGCCAAGCTCAGTTCAGCTGCTGACTGACAGATGCTCACACTTGGCAGCAGCACATCCATAGGTACTACCAAACTGTTTTTTCCCTGCAGTCAGAAGCTACAGACTGTCCTCCAGGTCCCACTGCTCCCCTGTAAAGAGAGGAGCACACAGCAGTGGGCAAAACAGGAAAATCCCTGTGTGCTCCTGCTCACACTGTCAGAGTTCATCTGACAGTAAACTTCAGCTTCACAGGTTCTTAACGCAGCCTCTCGGCTGAGCTCCAGATTCTCACCTTTCCTAAAAAAAAACCACATTGGAGAAATGTGGTAGACTCTTTGGGAACTGCTGTCAGAGACAGATACAAGAGATAATTCTTTCTGTGCAAGGAAACAAGTTGGAGATTTATAGCAAGAAGAGGAAAAACAGCAACACCTGAATGACTAAACTCAGGCAAAATTCCACGCTACAGCTGCTATTTATTACCTCTTAGGACCAAACTGGAGAAACAAGACAGTTTTACAAACACTTTGAGTAGGGACCTGACCATATGCTTAGAATAAAAGTGGAATTGCTTTCTGTAACAGAAAGAGACTGCAGGAACAAGGAGGATTTTAACAGGGAAAATTCAAAATATTCCCAACTAAAGTCAGGAAGGAAATCAAAGACTGAATGTCACTCAGCAAGACTGACTCTTCCTTTACCTCAACCTTCAGTGCACTGAGGAGGAAGCAGCACACTTCCTTGTCATGCTCCATTATCAGAATTAAGACACTATATAAAAAAAAAATTTAAAAAAGTGCCGCATATTAGATATATCTCAACTCTCCCGCCCTGTCCAGTGTCCAAGCCTTCATGTAACATACACAGCAAGGATGCAAACAAACTGATCATATCTTACATATGGAAGGGACTTCCAGCAAAGCAACAAACTGGTTCCAGTATTGCTCCAGAGTCTGACAGAGGGACCTGGCATGTTTCAACAGGAAGTCCAGAATGCTGGAATTATGGCAGCTGACATGAAATACTCAGATGCTACAGCGAGAGATGCACATGTGCCCAAAGCGAGTATGATTCACAAGAGCAGATGTCAGATCACCCAAGAGATTTAATCATTAGTTGTGTGACCACCTATGGGTCAGAAGAAACAGCAGTACAGAGCTTTTTTTTTTGGTGATCAAAGAGGCTCTGGAAAAAAGCTGCAGCATCTGGGGGCTCCATCCTCTCTCTATTCAATTATTTTTTCTATGTCAACTTCCATGATCAAGACAAATGTGCTCTGGTGTTATATAATAACCTCATTTACCTTATTAAAGTGCAAACAAAGAGAAAAAGGTTGTTTTCTCACTGCACCACCTGCTTCCAAGTGCTATATCCTGATTTGGAAGCTCTGACTAGAGCTACCAACTGCTCAGGTTTGCACTTCTGCCTTTAAGCTGTCTATCCTTTCACCTTAGGCAAACTGGTGCAAAGCTTATCAGGGCTGGTGCCTCTCAAAGCTGCTCCTTCCCTCTCGATTCCAACACTCACGCTGAGCAAAACAACAGCAGTGGGAAATGCAAAATCAGCCTCCACCAGACTGTCTTGCCTTTCCAAAAGACTTTAAACCAGGATAGATAAAGGCTGAGCACTCCAGGGTTTTCAGGCACCTGGAACCAACAACTGGTGTTACTGCTGAATCATCCCAGCCAAATACAATACTCTGATGGCTGTGTAGGGATTTGTAGCTCTGAACCTGGAAAACGAAGTACACAATTCACTGCTCTAGATATGTAGAGTAATATTCCACCTATTTTGCTCACCTCTTGGGTTACCTCTCCCTGGATCTGAGAATAAAACTTCTTATATTAAGGCTAAGCCCAAGAGAACTTCTCACAGAGCAAAGAGAGCCTGTAAAAGAAGCAACATTTCCCAAAAGTTCTTTAGAAAATACCTCACTATGGAAGATCAACCACTGAGACGATTATCTACAAACAAAAAAAAACCCCACACACAACCTTAAAATACCTTACTTTTTCAAAGGAACATAAACAAAGGCAATATTAAGAAAACAGTTTGGCTGCCCTCAACACAGGCAAGCTGTAAATCTATGTACAAGCACTTACCAGATGTGTACTTTGTTATGAAAATAAAGGGAGAATAAGGCAAGCCATCAACAATACCTGCTTTCTTAACGTGCTTCAAGAGACTAAAAAGAGAGAGCTCAGGGGAGAAGAGGGATTAAATACTTTGAAAACAAAATCAGTGTGTATTCTTCAAAGCTACAAAGGCTGCTTTAGCAATTACTTGCTGCTGCTTCTGTCCCTGCACTGGAAAGGCAGCATGAACTAGATGCCTTTAATTCCCACAGGCAGTAACATCTCCAAAGAGAAGTGTCAGGCTGTCTCTAGCTCTGTGACTCTCCTTCGTAGGATCCTAATAAAAGATCAGTGCCTTGTAGACACCTGAAAGGACAGAGAGCCCAGCAACATGCAATAAAACACAAGTCTGCAGAGCCCTCAACCACGTACCACTACACCACTGCCACCAGTACGGTTCCTCAGCGGGAACAGACCACGACACAAGTGAGCTGCTGGTTAAGGTTAAACACACTCAAACGATGCAGT